TTGAATGGACGTTTCTCCAAAAAGATAAACAAATGACCGATAAGCACATGAAGAGATGCTCAACATCACTTGTCACCAGGGAACACAAATTGAAAGCACAGCGAGACACCACCTCAAAACGACTGGATGGTTATTATCAAGAACAACCAAATAGGGGAAAGGTATATCTCAGGGGTAGAGCACATGCTTAGCATGCACGAGGTACTGGGTTCAATCCCCAGTACTGCCATCAAATATTAAAGATATAAAGCTAATTACCTCCTCCTCTTCCCCCCCAAAAGAACTGAAAAATTTGAAAAATAAAACTAAAATAGTTGAACAACAACAAATAAAAGATCTGTAGTCATTCATGGAAAAATGAAGAATTTTCGCCTTTCTCTTAAAAAAAAAAAGAACCAAACAAAAACCCCAGAAGATAAGTATTGATGAGCATGTGGGAAAGCTAGGGCGCTTGTGCACTGCTGACAGGAATGCAAAGTGGTGCAGCTGCCGTAGAAAGAGCATGGCCATTCCTCAAAGACTTAAACAGAGAATTACTGTATTAACTCTCTATTTCCGGGTATATATATAGACTTGAAAGCAGAAACTCGAAAAGGTATTCGTATACAATGTTCACAGCAGCATTATTCACAATAGCCACAAGCTGGAAGCAACCCAAATGTCCATTGACAGAGAGAGAAATAAAATACAGTCTATAGACACAATGGAATACTGTTCGGTCTTTACAAAGAAATGAAGCTGACGCGTGCTACAACGTGGAGGAACCTTGAAGGTACTTCGCTAAGTGAAATAGGGCAATGGATTCAGGGAGGCCCTGTGTTCTGATGAGCCCCGGTCTGAACACAGGGTTCTAGCTTGGAAGGCAGGCTGGAGATGGGGCAAGAGGAGGGGCTGAGGAACCTGGGGGTGCCATCCTGAGAGGAGAGGGCTGACTTCCCACCGCCCAAGGGCTGATGTGAAACCACCCTGCGTTGTGTCGGGAGGTCTGAGTCAGACAAGCAAATGTCTCAGGGGGACTGTACCAGGTTTAATGTCAGGTAGGTCTTTCTGACAACCAGTGCCACTTAGCCATGGAATAGCTTGCACTGGAAGGTTGGGAGGTGTCCCCCACCCAAGGGAGGCTGGATTTAAACCAGGGCGGGAGGAGCAGCCCGTGGGGGTGCTGTGGAAGGACTCCTGTTGACAGTAGGCGATCAGGCCAGCTGACCTCTGTGAGCCCCTCGCCGTGATCCCTCAGGCTCTGATCCCTGAGGTGCCAGGCTGACTGCCCTTGACCTTGTCCGGCCCAAGGGGTAGACGGAAGGCACATTCCACCAGGAATTAGGAGTCCTGCCTTCTAGTCCCAGCTCCATCTGTGATTGGCTGTCTGATCTTGGATGAGCCAGCACCTCTGGGGCCTTTGTTTACTCATCTTTGTAACTAACACCTGCCCGCCCTCCCTTACCCCTCACCCCTCACCCCTCACCCCCCAGAGATGTGGTCAGGACGAAGTGAAGCAAACTCCCAGGAAGAGGAGAACCCAGACACCTCACCAGCCCTCCCCACCTGCCTCCTGGCCTCTGCCTTCCCTTCCTCTGAGATCAGGGCTGGTCGTGCTTCTGCGGGTGTAACTTGCACACCTCTGGTACACACGATGCTAGTGGTGACACATGAGGGTTATCTAATGTTGTGTGTTAATTTTAATATGTGCTGCTTATACCCAGTATTTGTGGCAAAGGATAACAGTGAAGTTTTTTTTACGATAGTGATACTGACTTTCTTTTTAAAATAAACTTACAAGTTAATGTAAGTGATAAAAAGTGAGTTAAAGAAGAACAAGTAAATAATAAAGAAAGCGATATTTGAAGAAAGTAAAAGTCTTGAAGGTGGAATGTGTGTGGCTGGGATTTGGGAACCCCAGATGGACTGGGGGGACATAACCGCCTAGGTCCCAAGGCCCCAGCGACATGCCCTGAGGCCTGGTGATCAGACACAAAGAAAACCAAAAGGCAAAGCCGTTTCGGTTGGTCCTGCTGCCTGGTTTCCTTCAGGTGCCAGATCCAGTGCTCTTACCCACCCTTGACAGCTGAGAAGCAGAACTCGGTTCTAAGATCCTCTGTCCAGACCATGATGAGTTGATTGACTTCGACGTCTTTCTTTTGGAACCTGCTGTCTCTGCGCATCCTCATGCCTGCCTTCTCCCCAGTAGCTCCGTGAAGGAAGAGGGCAGCCCTGACCCAGCCATTCACCTCGAGGTGGTGGGAACATGTTGAGTCCCTCCCTAAAAGTACACTTGAAGAGAAGACTAGAGGGGAAATGTCAGGTCTGTGCCACGTGGCCGGGGTGATGTTCTTGTCCAGGGCAGCAGCCTCAGCGCTCTGCAGCTCACCTTCTGTACCAGGTAGGTCAGGCTCCCCTCACGCATGTGTCTTTAAGCAAGATAGGTGAGATCCCCTGCAGAGGAACCATCTAGAAACCTGATCGAGGTCCAGTCCCTCCACCTTGCTACTATCTGTTGATCCCCTCGGTCAAAGTGTCAGTCAGTCAGCCTGGAAGATCTACCCTCCCTGAGGAGCAGAGATGAAAGAAGATTCCAGCCGATTATCAACTGGAACTTCGGGAGATGACCCTTGGGGGTGGGGAGATGGGAACCAGGAGAGGGGGATGGAATATACACTGAAAATATCCCCTTTACTCTCTCCTCCTTCTGACTGGGTCCACATACCACTTTTTTTAAAGAGCTTTTTTTTTTTTTTTTAATGGAGATACTGGGCATTGAACCCACCACCCTGTGCATGCTAAGCATGTACCCTACCATTGAGCTATACCCTTCCCCTGCCCAAACCCCACATTTTGAAATATTTACCTATCAAACCACATGGATGAAGAAATAATTATCTTCCCTATTTTGATGATCAAAAACCTCCAAACATCAAATTAGTATAATTCCAGGTAAAAAGCAAAGACACTTAACCTTTGGTTTACCAATGCAGTCCCTGGAATATTTGAAGATCATGTTTTTCATTCCCTCTCCCAGAATCTAGCCTGGAAATACTAAAAACCCCATGCTCTCCAGCTCATAAAGGAGCAGGGGCCCCGGTCAGGCAGCCTGGCTCAGAGACTTTGAGAAAACACTGCCCTGGACAGTTCTTGTGGAAAGTCAGGGAACCACTGAGTTACATCAATTTTTTTCTCAATGGTGATTTTCAGAAGCTCTTCTAACAGTGCAGCACTGGATTTTCATATGATCAGAGCAGAAGGGAGGATAAGGAGCTAAAAGGAGGGGAAAGAGCAAGGCAGGGGAAACTAAGAGAACAAAAGAGGACGACGGCAAGTTTAAAATTTGCTAAGGATTGATACTGATAAAGAGACCGGATCAAGAATTAAAGTGCTTAAGGTCTGCGGGAGAATCAGTGAAATTTACCCCAATCAAAAAGACGGGCGCAGGGGGCGTGGGCAGGCAATTCACACACACAAACACACACACACAAAGGGCCAATAAACATGTGAAAATATTCAACCTCACCAGTAACCAAAGAGAAAACACTGAAAAGCCCCTTCTCCTACCCAACTGGAAAGGTAAACAGTGCTTCCAGCTATCGGCAAGGGCGAGGGAAGTGGCCGCTCTTACACAGCTGGTGGGACTGAGCACTGACGGACCCTTTCCAGGACAATTTGGACAATGCCCATCAAAAGCCTCAACCATGTGTACTCTGTTTGACTTAGAAATTCCACTTAGGAATTTACCTTAAGGAAAGAATCATTTATCTGTGTGAAGAGTTAGGTGTATTGCTTATAATAGTATTATTTATAAACAATTTATAAAAAAATTTAAAGGGGAAACACAATAAAAACATCCAACTACAAAGGATTCAATGAACAAATGATGGCACCTCCCTACACCAGAATGCTACACAGCCATGACAAGTCAGGGTGTTGAGTGACATTTCATGACATAGAAATAAATATGCTCCAGCAGGGGATGTTGTTCCAGCCCATTCTTTCAAATTACGTATGTATAGAAAAGACCAGAAGCAAGTGCACAAAAATGTCACCAGTGATGTTTTTCCAGGTGACGGAATTACAGGTATTCTTTCTTTATGTTTGCATGTCTGAATTTTCTAAATTTTCTACACTGGTCAAATTTGGCTTTTGTAATAAAAGATTGATAACATATCTTTTTAAAAAAGAATCAGTGAAGTTGCAAGTTATTATGATGAGGACCACAGAGGAATGAGACAAGAGTTCAAGGTCAGCTGGGAGGTGGGAGATCAGAGGCAGAGAAATTGAAAGAAAGCCTTTCCCCTTCGATGGACCATGACTCTGCACAAGCAGGGTATTACTATGATGGTACCCACCGGTGATGTCCCCGTTTGGGGAAAGGCATATATGTTCAATAATGAGGTCAAAACTTTAGGGAACAAAGGTGTGATCAAATGGGACCTGGGATACAGTGTATGTTTTCATGTGCTTTGTTTCCCTGCCTCCTGTTGTTCCTGTAGATCTAAAATGACTTAATGTAAAGCTTTGGACCAGAGATGCATTTGAAATAAGTTGTTTCACTCCTAAAATCAGGAGGAGTCGTGGGCAGCACGATGAAGCTCTGGAAGCTGCAGGTTCCCGACTCACACCTACCATGTGTAACTCACCTTCCTTGGGCATCAGAAGAAAAGAAAGGGGATGGGAAGACAGGGAAAGATGCGTTTAGACTCAGAGGGAGCTCTCTGTAGATACATACTCCTCCTCAACAAGAGCCGATGAAAGCACAGGGTGTGCTCAGGACTGTGCCCGTTCGCCCACCTTGCCTCCAGGTCCTCTTGCGTCTCCCGCTTCCTTGAGCTCCCAGAACTTGCTCTTGGGAAGGTCACAAGGAAGAACTGGGGCTTCACCTGAGCCCTAGCCAACAGGAAGACCCTGGAGGGGTGGCAAGGGGCGATGGGGCTGCCCAGAGCGAGACAGAAGCCTGGGTGAGCCCAGCGCAGGCAGGGAGGGAGGGCGGGGAGGCTAGCCTGGGCACTGACCTCTGGGCATGTCCATGGGGTTGAAGCTGGCCAGCAGGTCACGGCACCACTGGCGGTCACCCTCCACCTTGCTTAGCCAGTTGTTGCAGTTGAAGTAGTAACGGAGGTGAGGCCGCTTCATGTCGGTCACGATCACGTGGTTTAGGTACCAGCTGGCATTCAAGCCTGTGTTGTCGTGCTCGATCCTGGGGCAGAAGCAGACGCCCACGTGGTCACTGGCAGCGAGGACACGCCCCTTCCATACTGAAATACTCAAATGTTTACTCCAAAGAGAGGTTCAATCATTTTGCTTTTGTTACTTTATCTCTCATACCTCAGTTTTCTCATCTATAAAATGGGGATGCCTTGCAAGGTGGATGTGCGTATTAATGCTTATTGCATTGTTACATTGGCTGCAGGAAATACTGCCTTTCATGGAAAAATCTAGGATTGCCAAGGCTTGCAGTGGGACCATTTTGAGCTTCCCTTCTCTCCTTGACTCCCAGACCCCCCAGATACTTAGTCTCACCACCCAGAGGATCCCCCACTGCCACACAGGCCGGTGCTGCCCCATAGAAATATCGTGAGCTTCTTGTACGAGCCACATGGTAATTTTAAATTTTCTAGCAGCTACCTTGAAAAAGAAGCAAAGACACTGGTGAGATTAATTTTGATAATAAATTTCATTTGGCCCACTTATCATTCCAACAGGTAACTATGCAAACATTTATTAATGGGATATTTTACATCTTTTATCTTGGACTAATTTTTCAAAAATCTAGTGTGTTTTTGCACACACAGCACCTCTGCTTTGGACTAGCCACATTTCAAGTGATCAGTAGCCACACGGGGCCAGGGGCTACTGTACTGAGCAGCAGCGATCCAGGCTCTTCAAAACTGGCCCCCATTAACTTCTCCCACTTCCTATGGTCCTCTTCGTCCTTGGCAGTCCCAGTTTCCTTTCTGAGGTCTAGTTACTTCCCAAGAACTTGACCCTGAGATAACCTCACTTTGCAACAAGCATCCAGTCCCTGCCCATCACGTGAAGCCTTACCGTCTTAACAGGACAACCACAGCTCAAGTCAGCACACACCCAGCGGATGGATGACACGTGATACACACAGGATGCATGCCTCTGCCTGGCACAGAGCCTGGCGCGTAGTAGGACCTCAGCTTAGTGGTTGCCTTTCCCACACACTGCCACCCTC